TTTGAAATATCCATCTTCTTCATTTTGGCCAGTCCTGCTCTGGACAAGATTTATTGAATTGTTACTTTATACCAATCACAGTGGTAGGAAGGGCAGTTTCAGTACTAAGAAGTCAGTATGGTGTCTGTCCACATGGATATACAGTGCAACCCTTAAAAGGGCAGTTTAGCACATTAGTGAGTTATGGATTCTGGGGACAGACCACATGGGCTTAAAACCCACTTGTCCACTAATTATCTGTGTGATAGTGGACAAATTAACCAATCTATCCAGTATGCTCATCTGTGGAATAAGAATTGTAACAATCCTACCTCATATGGTTGCTATGAAAATTAAATGAGTTAGCCCACATATAAATGCATAATTCCAGACAGTTGGTATTTTATCTGTTATTTGCTATTATCTTACCTCCACTCCAACTCAGCAATGCTATACATATTGCCTACTTGATAACATAATAGCTAATTTTACAGAAGGTAGATATCAAGTAATAGTCAAAGATCCGAAAAAGTCTATAGAAAGCATAGGTGTGGGCATCTGACACCTTTACTATTTGCTCTGTGTGCAAAATATAAGGATACAGTAGGGCCATTACCCAAACAAGCTCATATTGAATATGATAGAAGGCATACAAATAACATCTGAGAGCAGAAAGAAGGATGTAGAAGAACGATTTTTATGAAATAAAAGAAAAACAGCCATTTAAAATTATATCATCATCATCCATCAATTATTATTCAGTCCTTACTCCTTCTAGATGCCAATCTCTAAATAAACTCATTAAATGTTTTCCCAGTGAACCATGAAAGCAACCTTGAAGAACAAGCACTATTTTTTTTTAAGATTTTATTTATTTGACAGAGAGAGATCGCAAGTAGGCAGAGAGGCAGGCAGAGACAGAGGAGGAAGAAGCAGGCTCCCCATGGAACAGAGAGCCCCAAGTGGGGCTCGATCCCAGAACCCTGGGATCTAGACCTGAGTGAAGGCAGAGGCATAACCCACTGAGCCACCCAGGTGCCCAGCACTATTTTTTTTTTTTTTTAACCCATCTTATAAGTGAAGAGGCTGAAGCTAAGTTAACTTCAAGTTTTCCCAGGCTATACAGACAGGGATGAAGATATGACGAGAATTCAGGTCTCTCTGAATCTAACGTGTGTGTTATTATACTCTATTGCAATCCTTATCATATTATGAGCATGTTGCCATATCACTAAATGTTTTGTATAAACATGTTGCCTGGATGGCTGCAAAGTGTCCTAGTGTATGCCTATACCATTATTTATTTACCCCTTTCTGTCCTGTCAAATATTTAGGTTGTTTCTAGTCTCTTATGTATTATATATTATTTGTAATACAAATCTGCCTGTGTAAGTTTTATATACATATTTGATTCATTTCTTAATATAGATTCCAAGAAGTGGAGTCACAAGGCTAAAGTATGTGAACATTTATAAAACCCTTAATATAAATTGTCAAATTGCCCCACCAACAATGTGATAGCAATTTACTCTCCCTTCCATAATTTTAGAGCTTGCTCATTTCACTGTATCCTTGCCAATCCTGAATGTTATCAATACATCTTTTTCTAAAAGTTTCTTACCAATGAGTTAGATTTTTAAGTCTCCTATTGATTTAATTTGTATTTTCATTTCCACTGGGTGCTTGGAGAGAAAAGTACCATTTATTGAAAATAAGACACGTGGACAATACTTCAACATTCACTCCTATTTATCTTTATCCCTCATTCTTCTCCTTGCATTTATCTTTGTTTTTCCTTTCACAGAATTTCCTAAAACTCCAAGTCCCAATGTATTGTCACAATGGGAAATTTTCGCAATATCTTTATAAACAAAGTTTGTTCCATTCTCTGACCTATGCACATGTTTTATGCTATCATTTATTCCTTATAGTGAAATTATGATTTAATTCTCTCTTGTCTCTTCCAGATTATGAGCTGCTGAAGAACACATGATCTTATGACTTATTAGATTTCCACGACCTAACAGAGAGTAAAAATTTCTTCAGCAAATTTAATTAGCACTTGTCACAAAAGCACAATGATTCTGGGTTTCAATTAAACTTTCATTATTTCCTTGAATTATGCATTTACTCACCAATCAATAATGTATTTGATTACATGCTATGGGACAGTATGAAAACTCAATAAAGACATGTAGTGAAATTACCTGTTCTAAAAGAATTTGTCCTGTGAAAAGGTAAGTCAACCTTGCTGATTCCTTGGAGTTAAGGACTTAGAAATCATAGCAATATCTGCTCTTTATCTTGCACTTCTTATGTACACTTACTATATGCCAGACTCTTTGTACAACACTATGTGTGTGTGTGTGTGTGCGTGTATACACACATTTACAGATAAACAGTACATAAACATATAATTTAATTTAATTTTTAAACAGTCATGTGACTTACCTGCTATAATTTTCATTTAATAAACAAGAACACTGTGAGATATACTAGTTAATAATTTCTTTAATGGCAGAGCCATATTTGAATATTAGTCATAGTGACTCCATAGATTGTGTTTCTGTCTTCCAATAATATAATGAAGTTAAAGAATTTAGTGAGGGGACACCTGGGTGGCTCAGATGGTTAAGCATCTTCCTTTGGCTCAGGCCATGATCTCCAGGTCCTGGGATCGAGCCCCATGTCAGGCTCCCAGATCAGTGGGGAGTCTGCTTCTCTCTATCCCTCTCCTTCTCCCCCTGCTTGTGCTCTCTCTGTCTCTTTCTTTCTCATGTGGAAGGAGCTGAGATGCCCTTCAACAGATGATGTATAAAGAGGTGGTTCATATATATAATAGAACATTACTCAACCATCAGAAAGGATGAATACCCAACTTTGGCATCAACATGGACAGAACTCCAGGAGATTATACTAAGTGAAATAAGTCAAGCACAGAAAGACAATTATCATACAGTTTCACTTATATGTGGAACATAAGGAATAGCATGGAGGACATTAGGAGATGAAAGGGAAAAATGAAGAGGGGGGGACATCAGAGGGGAAGACAAACCATGAGAGACTATGAACTCTGAGAAACTCTGAGAAACAAACTGAGGGTTTCAGAGGGGAGGGGTGGGGGATGGGTTAGGGTGGTGATGGGTATTAAGGACGGCGCATATTGCATGGAGCCCTGGGTGTTATATGCAAATAATCAAAAGCTACATCAAAAGCTAATGAAGTTTGGTGACTAACATAATGTAATAAAAAATAATAATAATAATACAAACAAATAAATATGTCTTTTAAAAAAAGGAATTTAATTAGTGTACTGATAGAAAAAAGGCAGTTCAAGGATGTTGGTGATATCCAATTACTTCTCTTCATTTTGAAGATCTATACTCACAAAGTATTGAAATCAAACTAGCAATGTTTGTGTGTGTGTGTGTGGTGGGTTTTTTTTTTTTTTTTAAGATTTTTATTTATTTATTTGACAGAGAGTTACAGAGGGAGCACAAGTAGACAAAGCAGCAGGCAGAAGGAGAGGGAGAAGCAGGCTCTCTGCTGAGCAGGGAGTCCAATGTGAGGCTCTATCCCAGGACCCAGGGATCATGACCTGAGCTGAAGGCAGCTGCTTAACCAACTGAGCCATTCAGGGCCCCCAAACTAGCAATGTTAAATATTCTCATTTCACATGCTTAGACTGTATGTAGTACAACCTGTTCTTGTGACGTTTAGATATTGTAGGAAGAAGAAAAAACAACTTTGCCTTGTTTTAGGTGTCTTTTTAGATGGATGCAACAATAGTTAAGATATCAAGTAAACTTCACAGAAATTATTGGTCAGTGAAACTCTCAGAAAATATCTTTGCTCTGTACCATTTTAATGCAATGTAATGCCTTTGGCTTTTTATTGATAAAAACAACAACAAAACCACAGGGGAAATGCTATAACTCATTGAGCCTGACTAATGTGTATGGCTGGACATCTATATTGCTAAAATGAAACCCAGAATGAGTATGTTTGTTAATAGCAGATAGGACTTAAGAGGTATGGCAAGGCCTTTTAAAAACTAAACCTAGGGAACCCAGGCAACTGAGTCTACATCATTCTTTTTCAAGAGTTCTATATCACAAAATAAATTTTTTGTCAAGGGGTACATACTGCAAAAGAAATCCTTTTTCAAGGAGCATACATTGCAAAATAAAGTTTCTGCTTTATAATTAATTTATAATTAAAGTTTCTGCTATATAATTGTATAAATTAGTGCAAGAACTCTTCAGAATGTACAAGTAAGAGGACATGCAATGGAGTCCTTTGGCAGTCTCTTCAAGTCTATGCATGTGTAATTATGGTTTTAAACACCTAAAATAAAATATTAAAGTACAAATAACTACAAAACAAACCAATTATATTAAAATGCTGTTATCAAATTATTGTTAAAAACATGATATGCTCATATGTGTTTTGTTTTGTTTTTTTAACAATTTATTTGTCACAGAGAGAGAAAAAGAGCACAAGCAAGGGATGGGGTAGCAGAGGGGGAAGCAGACTCCCCGCTGAGCAGGGAGCTGGACTTGGGTTTTGATCCCAGGACCCCAGGATAATGACCTGACCCAAAGGCAGACACCTAATCCACTGAGCCACCTAGGAGTCCCAATATATGTTCTATCTTATTAACACATTAAATAACAGATTTCTTGGCAGGTTTAAAGACTGTTGTTTTTTCAAGGTGGTCATAAGTATAAATAAGTCAGGTTAACTGTGACAACAACAGATTTCTATTATGTCTATTGGTGACAAAATCACCGGAGTTCCCAATAGTAATAAGGTTTGTCATCTATATTTGTAATGGAAAGAAACGATATTTCCTCTAGAGGAAATATAAATAAATATAACTAAAAATAAGGACATGATTTTTAAAATTTCTAATCACACAGGTACACACCACCCCACACCAAACAAGAGCAACAACATACACGAACAAACAAAAAAATTACAGGAGACTATATGCAGACTCCAAATTCAGAAATACATTAATGCTTATTTCGGCAGCACATATAATAAGACTGGAAAAATACAGAGAAAATTAGTATGGCCCCTACTCAAGGATGACACACAAATTCATGAAGAATTCCATATTTAAAAAAAATAAAGAACTTCTATATTAATGTGTTTCTATCTTACAATACAATTTGCCATCTCCTTGAAAACTTAAACAAAATTCTGATCACCTGAAAGAGAGAAAAGCTGAGAAAGAAATTAACGATGAAATGCAAATTCATTATCACAAAGAAAAAAATTTTTCCATTTTTTTGTATCTCTAAGTTCATGGATATTAACTAAACTCTATGTGCTAATCATTTAATAATAGATGTAATTCAAGTCATTTTACTATACAACTTAAACATACAGAATGCTGCATGTTGAATATATTTCAATAAAACAAAGAGAAATAAGTATGAATTTATAGGCATGCTTGTACATCAGGAAACTAAATGAACAAGTATGGAAATGAAATAGTTATCTAAAACAGTCATATATCATTGAGCTGAGTGACTATAAGAAGTCCAAAGACGTTAGTAATATTTTGTTGTCTTAAATTTTACAACATGTTGCCAAGAACATCATATTCTTTTCCTTTTTTTTTTCTTTTGCCTGCCAGAGTCACATGTTTCTCTCTCTCCCCACCCACTCCTTTTTAGACTATTTTTTTTTTGCAGGAATAGTCACATTTAAATAAAATCTTTGGATTAACAATAATCACAGTTTAAAAGAAATGCTATTCCTCTGATGATCTTATTAAGAGGTGAACTTTAAATAAATTGTCTTGATCTCTCAAAAAATTGAAATTTAGATTTATGATTTAGCAGCAAACCCAATTGCTATTCATGCACAATGATGTCAAAGTTAAGGCCTTGGTTAATTACTGAAACAGGCAGTGAATTCAACAATTTTTTTCAACAAGAGATATGAATGAATCTGCCAATCCTCCTTACTCTTATACAGAATAGATAAACTTACAACTAAGGTGAAGATGACATTTAAATTTTTAGGGAGTTTTCCTGTCCTTGGCAAATGAAATTATACCTTCTAAGATGAAAGATATATTTTTGAAATGAGAAGTGGCTTTTTAAAAATTTACCTAAGATAAATTGTAAACAAACTGATGGAGGTACAAAGCTATGCTAATAAAAGTTAAAAACTTTCTTGAGAAATATATGTGTCAGTGAGTGCCCACTCATTAAACTAATTGCTTAATCTTTGAAAACGATAGATTATTGTCATATAATGTAAGTATAAGCAATTGCAATTAAATATTCAACATTTCCCCCCTTCACCTAGGGAATGGTCCTCTATGAGCCCCCCTCTGAAAATTGAATATAATGAAGGAGAACCCATTAGACAATTTTTAGAATACTAAATGTGAAATTTCAAAATGCCACTGTTTTATTGAAAATGCCCTTTCCTTTGTTTGAACAGACACTAGTAGGAATGGGAATAAGTGTTAGAGCAGTTAAAAGCAGAAACAGAAATATATGACCATTATATTGAGATTTATCTCTAATGACTGACTATTCACAGGTGTTTAAAGTTTTAAAAGCTTTTTTCCATTCTTGAATGTGCCTTTTTGGGCTTTGACTATAAAGTAAAGGGAAAGAATAGCAATTTTATGTATTTAATACAGCCTTAGAGAAACACCTTCTGGCTTTAATGCCTTGTGATGATTTGGGTTTGGATCATTCTTTACTCATCAGATGCACTTTTTTTTTTTTTTTTTTTAAAGAAGAAGCAAAATGAAAACATTAAGATAAATTCACACCAGGCTTAATTTTTCAGAAGAGAAGAGAAAGAAAATGAACTGGTGCATCTTTAGAAGACAAAATATCATCCTTGTGGATATCCATTACAAAAAAGTCAACTGCAAATTATTTTAGGGTTTTCAGTCTCAAGATAATCTGGGTTGTATTTATGTGTTTTACTTAATGAAATGCTTATGCAATTATAAATGTTTGCAACACAATATTTCAAATTTATAAGCTTAGGAAAATACAGGTGTTTTCAGAGGCAACTTTTTAGGTCATCTTTAATGATTACATAACAATGACTCTGGATAATTATCTCTTTTGACCATAGTAACAAATGGAGAATAGGGCTAGCCCTGAGTCAGGAAGCTGGATCACAGGTAAAAAATGTGAAACAAAGTAGCAATAAGATTAAAAAGACAATTGTAGAATGGAGAGAAAAGTGGAAAGAAAGGAAAGAAATGGGAATAGAGGAGACATCAAGAAAGAACACCTTTTATTTTTCTAAGTACAACAAATTAGATTTGTGAAAAACTTTTGTAAAAACAAAGAAATGAATAAATATTAAAAAAAACATCCTTTGAAATTAAAAAAAAAATGAGCTTGTAAGGTAATAATACCAAAACCAAAGATGAAAAGAAAGAGGAAGAAAAGTGTGGTAAGTAGAAACCATGTGAAGCTGGCATACAGATGGTATAGACAGGGGCCTGGGTTTCCACAGGTCTGCCAGGAAGACGATGAACCATGGGTCTTGTCAAATGTGAAGACGCTCATGGCGTCAGCTTGACAAAGAGTTAGACTCAACTTCGTTTTTTGTTTCTTATAAAATCCTCATTTCTTAATATTTTTGAAAAGGTAAATTGTTTATGTGGTTTAAGAAAAACTATTTGAAAAGACGCGCAGAGTAGTTTTCAGTCTCATCCACACACTTCTATGCTGGTTTCACCCACTCCTATTAAGGAACAGAACCATTATCCTCGGTTTTCTGTTCATCTTTCCATGTTTCTTTATGCAAAATAAGAAATGCTCTACCACAACCTGATTTTTTTTCATTCAACAATATATTCTGGAAATCATTCCATAAAATTTCCTGGAGGTTATCATCCTTTTTAACATCTGAATAATGGTCTTTTAATGGTCTACCATAGTTTAGTCAAATCAGGCTTTTATGGGCATTTATTTAGGTTGTTTCCAAAATTTTGCTATCACAAATAACACTGCATGAATCATCTGTGTATAAGTTGTTTGGTATGTATGGAGTTTTATCCTTAGTGTATATAGCTATAAATAGTATTCACTGAAGGCTCAATGGGAAATGCATCTATTTTTCATAAATTTTACAAATTCTTCCCCAAAGATGTTGTGTATACCTATCAGCAATGTATGAGAATACTTCTTCACAGTTTCATCAATGGAGTGTACTTCCTGGCTTTTGAATTCTTGCCAATATAAGAGAAATAATAGTTTGGTGTACTTTATATTTTTAAATTTATGAGTAAGACTTAATACCCATCATTTGTACAAAGGCCACTTAGATATATTTAATTTGAACTGTCCATGTATTTTCTTGACTTATTTACTGACTTTTCAGTAATTCTATATATATAGCAGTGTGATACATCTATCTTATATATATTATATACATAATATGTAATTTTTTTACTAGTTTATCATTTATTTTATTTTTTGTTTATGGACTCTTTATTATTTTATATGGTCAAATTTATCATTTTCTTTATTATATAAGAATTTTGAGTTTTGTTTAGGTTTTCCCACATGCCAATTATAAAGGAACTTTATAATCTTATAAATATAGTCCTTTAATCTTCTTCTAGTCCTTGTTTAGTTTGTCTCTCTACATTTGTATTATTCATGCATTTAGACTTTATTCTGGTGTTTGGTGAGAGGTAAGGTCCAATTATATTTTTTAACTTTTATCTAGTTGACCTGTTACTATTTACCTTTAAAAAACATTTATTAGATGAACCTTGAAACTGAGTTCCCTCATAAAATTTAGACCTTCAAACTGCTATACTTTCAAAACAAGATAGACTAGAAAAATAGCACTTGGAAGCATAGAGAGCTTACTTTTATCAGCCTGCATTTGAGAAAAATACTTTCTAGAATATAAGGCAAAGCTCAACAGCCATAATCACTTTCATACAGGCTTGGTTTTTCTTTCTACAGTGCAATCAAGTTGAAAAGTAAAAACAAAACACAAGGAAAAGGCGTGAGAAAATTTTTACACACACTTGTGAGTAATAAGAATTAAAATCAGAAAATGGTTAAACAATTACAAAACTACTGTGAAACAAGGCAAGAAGTAATTAGCTAAATCATTGTGTATAATAAAACTGTACATTTAAACTAATATTAGAAAATAAAAATGCCTGAAAATGATTGAGTCATGCCTAATAGGAAGACAGAATTAAAACTATGTAATAAAGCAAAAGAGATAGGGAAAAAAGAAATTAAAAAAGAGACAGATAACAGAAAGAAATAAAAATGTTACAGAGTTGTACAGATCCTACTATTAGGAAAGATGTGGAGGAATGGAATTCTCATGTACTGATAACAGGAGGGCAAACTACTTTGGAGAACAATTTATCTAGTTCATTTAAACCATAATATATCCTAAAACAAGCAATCCCCAGTAATCCTATCCGTGAGTGAGCAGTCCACTAAAATGTATGCAAAAATGTTGACTCAAGTAACATTTAGAATAGGGAAAATTGTAAAGAATATCCATATCCCTCAATAAGAAAATAAATAAATGGTGGTATATCCCTACTACAGAGCATTTTACAATATAAATTAATCTTGAAAAAATAAATTCAATGAAAAATTAAGTTGCAGAAGGTTATGAAAAATATACAAATTTTTGTATGTTTAAGATATGCAAATACTAAAATACAGAATTTAAAAAAATATTAAGTTTTGAATTACTTTCTATACCCAATGTGGGGCTCTAACTTACAACCTCAAAATCAAGCCACATGTTCCATTGACTAAGTCAGCCAGGTGCCCCTAAAATACAGAATTTTTAAATTTCAAAATGTGGGTAGTGGTTTATTAAATTAAAGCTAAAGGAGAGACAGATAAATTTTAAAGTGGTATTCAGGGCTCATCAACTGCACTGACATGTTTTACTTCCTAAATCTGGTTATGAGCATACAGTTTTTTATCATATTGAATCCATAGTTTTATAAATAATGTATTACCAAAGTACTATAAAACAAAACAAAAAAAATGATAAAGGAACAGAAGTAGAAATAAGAATAGGAATACAAGCAATAGACTAGAGGATAAAAGGACATAAAGGAAAAGGAAGAAAGGAAAT